AGAGAGAAAAGATTTACCCCTGATAGTACTGAAATATATTCTTGCCATAGGAAATAATGATAACATTTCCTAAAACAGACAAACGTTTTTTTCATTGACTTCATCTTTGTAACATAAACATCACACGTGTAAAAATATTTTAATTGTATAGCATTCTACAAGTACAAGTAATTACTTTTTAACTTTTGTATAACGGAGTTCTTCAAAGTAGAGGATGATATCCATACACGCTTTATCGACATCCACCCTTCCATGCAGTTAGTGTATCACTTTAACGTAATATACTTCTGCATTTAGAAAAGGCTTATATTTAAATGGCACATTGTCTCTATGGCAACACAGCAATGGGTACATGAGTAATTATTGTAACATTGGCCAATGATAAAAACAACAGAAGCAAGTCATCAGAATCAATCTTGAGACACGTTTGTTATTTAGACTAGTTGTGGTGTATTGAACAACTTCCATGATAAATGAATTTATAATTAATAGCTGAATAAAGTAACTTCTGAAAAACACTTATAGTAGAAGCCTACTCTCAATTTTTGAGAAAGTTCGCATGAAAATGTTCATTGATTTATTATGTGGAATCATCACGATTTTGTCTCATGGCAGCATATATATCATTCTTTTTTGTGTTACGGTAATACTTTTTTAGAAACTTGTCTTAAGTCGCTATTTTAAGAACAATTCCATAGAACACAAACGCAGATTTTGGAATTAAATTAGGACAGCAATAAGTACCCCGTCATTACAAATATATACTTTTTTTTAGTCCAAGTCATCAGCCTACAATTTATAATATACCATAATATATAACGTTATAGTACTGTCAAAATGGCCGATATCTATTAAAATAAATAAAAAAATAAAATAATAAATAAAAAAAAATCATTCTGATTTACACCTAAAATTAATGCCCCTACATTCATTTTATCTATATTTCATCAAATTTAACCTGTATAAAACCCCATCCATAACCGTTTGGTATAAATGAAAATATTTCCCGAAATTGTTGTTTCTATAGCAACCATATCTGGATCTTATCCCTAATCTAGTCATTGTAGTGTTCATACTAAAAGCAAATTCTTCTGACAATTTCAGGAGTCGCCGCTGAGGAAATACAAGTCACGTCGGCCTTCCTTCATCTCGTTTCGCAAATAATGTAGTGCTACTCACTACGAAAAACAAAATCGTGTCTTTGTACATACGCACACTTGCGTTTACCTGGATTTTCTTGAGTAAATCACCTCTGGCTAAACTTAGTTCATCGACACGATCGGGCGACCGAGTCGTCGGGAGGCCACCAGAATAGTGGGGTTTCACCTGCTCTGATTGGTTAGTGGCTAAGTAGCCAGGTGTTCATGAGTATATAGTAGGAAGAGTATTCTAATGTATTCAATCTCGGTTGCAGATAAATCAGGATGTCCACAAAAACAGGAAGCTGCATCGAATTGATACGACACCAAACAACAAGAGATGCTGGACGATGTTACTTACAATATTATCACCGTAGTAGAAGACCGTTTTGTGAAATTTGAGGGCGACTTGTCCGAAGAAATTAACGAAGCTATTGTGACGGTTTGAACTCGAGCAAAAAGTTGCCTTTTGAGACTCATTCAACCCAGATATGCATGACGTGTGGGACGCGAACAAAGTTCAGTCCACAAGGACTGCTTAAATTGGAATTGCCTAATCATGAAATTGCATGTTATGATGTTTATATTGTATGAATAAGGTCGCATTCCGATCCAATGACTAAGAAATGTTGTAAAATATGTATTCAACGAAAATAAATATATATGTAGCATCATTTGGTGCTTGGGCATGCTTGTTTGTTTTCCTCCTCACAGGGTATAATAGCCTTTCGGCATATCTTTTCAGTATATTCGCCATACAACATTGTTGTGTTACGCAAGTGTGGCCCTTTGCCGATGCTGTTCTCTTGAGACACTAGTCGTGTGATACGAGTAGACAATTCGTCATTTCCAATTTGCGGTTCAATGCCATCGGTGCATTATTGTGTTGTCGCGTCAATATTGTTGTATAAATTGGCAGGTGCTCATGAGTATATAGTAGGAAGAGTATTCTAACGTATTCAGTTTCGGTTGCAAACAACTCGCTATGTATTTTTTTTTATAAATATATATTTTTCTTAATATGGATGACGCCCGACGTCCACCCTAGGTACACCTGACATTGCGTCGGGTACAGCTTTCCAGATTTGTTTTTCTCCTTTGACGTTTTTTTTGTATCTGGTTTTTCTTGGGCGGTCGATGTATTCGCGATGGGGTTTTAGCATAAAATATTTCGTGTATATTTACATATGTAAGGGGAATACCTGGAATTCCTGGAACTGCAACCACCGCATACCACATTTCATACTTGTCTGCAATCTGTATGAATAATTGAAGTTTAGTATAGATTAACCTGTCAATCACCTTTAGGTAGTTTTAGGTAGTATAAAAAAACATAGAGTAAAGGACGCTGTCAAATTCCTGTCTTCGTCAATCATAATTCGTGTTCGTTCGGAATGGTGAGAAGTGGCCTAACTGTTCTAACATTTGAAATATACGTTAAAGAGGGGATGTCGTCACCTGCACCTGGCCATAGCGTGCCATTGTTTACAAACAAGCGTCTATCCAAGAGCCTTTGCGTTCTTAGCGTGTATTGTTATCATAGCTTGGACTCAATTCCCGCGCGTGCGCAGGTGACGACCCTTCCGCTTTAATGTACTGCGAGATTTGTACAATCAAAAATAAGAAAGGATTCCACGGCTATATGTATGTGCTGACGTCATCGTTATTGTATGTTGTTGTGCTATCGCTGATAAGGTTTTGTTTATGAATATTGCTTGTTCTGGGATTATATATGACAGTTCTTCATCCTCTTCATCTTAATTAACTTTATAATAAAAACCGTAGTATACATGCTACATAACTATGGGGCTGTGTGTGAACTTTTTGGTCCGTCTGATATTTAACAAAAATGACTGGGATAATTGGTTATAAATAATCACATTGTATTGTAAAGTAATGTGATAAAAAAAGTTGTTGCAAAATTTCCAAAGATGTCGATTGTTGACAAACATTTGTCGTCTGCAAATGGCACTAGAAAATGTACATTTTTGTCAAAACTTCTCAACTTTTCACCAAAGATGGAGAGCTACCCACATATACAACATATAAAATACTAATAATTTGGCATTGGATTTATTACTGTCATTATCATTTAATTGGGAAATAATAAGGATGCGTGAAATGACCTATGACCCAACCGACCTGAGATGTGTGTATATATTAAAAATAAATAATACTTGTTAATCTCGAATCCGATCGTTTGCAACCAGTCTCTGGTCATGCAAATAATATAAATATATTAATAGAACAGTCTATGTGTTGGTAGTCAATAGGCGATAAGAATAGAGGTGACCTTTCATACTGATACATAGATTATATTCGAATATCTTAAATTTATCAATTAATTAGGTAGTTGTTTGTATTCGTCAAACAATTTTCACTGAAATATAACCGTCATCATTTTAATATGCATTACTCCTATACCTGGCGTATATGTCCAATATGACATTATTATCACAGTCACAATTTAGCGACGGTTAGGTTGGACTATTCTAATGGCAATATTTATTGTGGCATCACCTTTCTGCAAGTGGATCATCACGCCACAATGACGAACTTAGCTGCGTTGGCCAATTTACCAAACGTGAGGTAGTTTACTATGTACGTATAAATGATATTAAGTTGTATATTCTTTTTATTAAAAGTCAAATGAACACATATTCATGATGGGTGTGATGAGGTTATCTAACAGTTTACTATAAGAATAGTATCAATGCGCTCTGAACGGTCACTTTAAATCAACTGTGTTAAAGGAACGATACGGAATACTCATTGCATTCAGGTAAGTATCTATTTTTTTGAAAGACGTGAACATAATTGACAAGGCTTTATAAATGGTACGACTATTCAACTATACAGTAGCTTATAACAATTGATTTTCGTTCTTCTACGGAGCAGCTTTCATACAACACTGCAATGGGCATCGTACACTCACTCTTCAATAATTGTAGATGCAAACGAACATATAGAATAAGGAACACAAGATTTGATTTCATGATTACAGACGCGCAGCCTAATAATATGGTGAATAGTGTACCACGACGGTCGTGACATTATTAGTCAATGTCTTCTCGAATTTATTTTGTAACTGTTTTTTTTTTATATTATCATATGTGCATCTATTTTGAATTGTTTCTGTGGTTAGTGTAGCGACAACGGCAAATCTGGGTGAAACATCTAAGAATATAAAACATATTATTTATATTCTTTAATTGTTGTTCCGCAATAACTGTGTTATGGTGCGTAATTTAGGTTTATTTTAAAATACTCTGGTGTGGGCAAGCCTTCCACTGCATGTTGGCATAATGGCATAATGGATTTTATTTTAATACTGACCGTTTCACATGAGTTTTGAATGAACTAGTTGTCTCTGAAATTGACTGGATAATTGTATATTTGTAAACTAGGGTTGCTGTGAAAGAAATTTGATAATAAATCCGCGACCAAGTACAAACAAACTTGTTATTGGCTTTTAACTATTTTATTAACTATCATACCAATTGACGACTTCGTCTTTTCAAATTACGTCATCCATCTAGCATGGCATGAAGTAACATACCGAGTTATATAAGATTATGGTTCAAGAATTATAAAAAAAAAGTAGAAACTGCATTCTTATGCAAAAATAAACTATATTGCATTGTTTTCTTGATTCTTCCAGCTCGCAATATGTTTGTCATAAAACTGATGTACATCCTGAGCCTACTGTCAGTTGTTAGTTCAAGTGAATTGTTGCCTGAAAATCACCCGGATTATTTGTGTAATAAGTGTTCTGTAAGATATTATGCAACCAGCATATTTAATTCCGAATGCATAGAGGATGTACCATGCCCAGAATTCATGTTGAATGCCGAAGATTCTGCACAGTCAGAGCCAGTTACGGGATATTTGGGTGAATTTTATATCAGTCTGACAGGTTACCAAGATAGTAGAAAGAAATTGAGAAATTCGGTAGGAGTTGGTGCAAAACGTTTGAATGGAATGGTGCGTGGTGAAATGGTGAGTGGTTTAGATGTATATAAAATTGTTCGTTAGTGTTGTTCGTAATGAAGAAATTTGGAAATAATATCAGACGCTTAATATGCCTTTCGTTTAACTATAGGGTCAACGTAATTCCGGTGAGGTCGCTTATTGTCAATTATGTAACATTGAGCACCGTGGAGACATTTGGGTAATTTATACTTGTGAAGATAAGGTAAATTTATTGTTCACATAATAATATTACACAGTATTATTATCTTAAGTGTTCTGATTCATACAATATGAAATACAATCAGCAACCCTCAACGCTGATAAAATTCATTATTATTATTATTGTTATTATATAGCATGTTTCGCATATATAGTTATCTAAATGCATGCAAAATATAATATTTGACTATTGATGTACAAAAAACCTGACTTATGAAATTAAATAAATATCCAGTATCATGTCAAATTACGATGTTCTGGCAATGGTCTCAAATTCAAATGAACATTATTTTCATATTATTATTATTATTATTATTATTATTATTATTATTATTATTATTATTATTATTATTATTATTATTATAAACACACTTAATCAGTTTAACGGTTTTAATATCGTCACACCCAACAAGCAAAAACATTTAATCTTATTTTCGGAAATATTGACATCAAGGAACTTGAAAACCAATTACTTCTGTTTCAGATCGAGTTTACAATTGAGATAAATTTCAATATAATAGTTTATACGTATGTATATATATATATATATATATATATATATATATATATATATATATATATATATATATATATATATATATATATATATATATATAACTTTATAATGTTACGCTTTCTAATTTAGGAATGTCCATTGATTATGAAAGGGTATCAACTATCTAACCCACCAGCCAAAATAAAATGGCAGTCATTTGACAGCTACTGTCACGGTCTTCCGGACAATCAGAAGTCTCGATTCACCTGCTACCAACCAAACGAAATGGTCCAATGATGTGCACTGCTTGTTGTGTACATCGACCAGTAGTTTAGTGACATTTCAACTGACCTTTTGTGATTAGGTTTTCGCATGTATAAGAAGTTAATTTTTGTCGCGTATTTTCGGATGATATATAAAATACACTGACACCCACTTTAAATGCACATGAGATATGTTAAACACTCAATGTAGTATGTTATTACAGCATAATTACACATATTTACATGCTTACTAGTGATGGTTGTACTGTAGTTAAAATAAATTAAAATTGGTGATGTATCAATACAAGTATTTGATTGTATGTGCCTTTGAATAATTACTTTTGTGAACAAGGGGTTATACGTGAATGTTGTAAGGTATTATGTAATGCAACAGATTTAAGTTGACGATACAGGTGTACTGAAGTGTGTACAATACAATGTTACGGCACGTGGAGGCAAAACAGTCGAACCATTGCAGGAGAAGATGCCTTTCTGTCTCTCGTTTGACGTGGGTGCGGTATACATTCCACCAAACTCACTCCAACAATAAGGCAGACTGTTTGAGTGGCACACACTTCAGAGATGATATCGTAATTCTTTTCCATGTCACACATACATACATATAAAAATGTCATATATTCACAGAAAGAATCAACCAAGCCAAGATTTTCTTAAAGTTCTTTATACCTCTCTGAAATGAAAATTATAGTAGAAATAATCAGAGTTATCTTCGGTGAAAGATGCGGCTGCAAACCCGATATACCTATCTTGTTTATTCTCTGCCGCCACGATTTTCCTGTCTCTGGTATTGCCTGCTCCAATAATTTGATTTCCACGATGTGATTGATTTTAGTGATCGATTGATTGATTGATGTTGCATATTACCAAATCATACTATCATAGCCATACTATTAGGCTTGGTGTCAAATCACAGACGCGAAAATGTGGGACAATTATTAACATAAAAAATAAGAGCTGAAATGATATTCGAAAAGAAAGTTTGCGTGACAAGGTTTCTGGTCAATTTTGAGGCGCTGATTTCGAAAATGTATGTAATACCGATGTTCATCGCTGCATTTTTGTCTTAAGCTTCATCAATAAAATAAGCTGTGGTCTGTTTAGTTTCATTAAATGGCACTGACCTTGTTTGGAGCGTTTAAAATCATTTTGCATATTGGTTGAAACAATTTTGTTCTCGTAAAATTTCCAAAAACAGTAGCGGTATTCATTCTATTAAATTGCCTTCCCCTTTTTATTATAGCAAAGACGAAAGCAAATATTGTTTTTATATCTGTTATGATGTAAGTGCAATTCATCTTCAAAATTATTGTCAAAACTTGAATTACATTCCACACTGCACAGGCAGTTGATGGCTATAGAGAGTCCAGGGCTGATTATACCTAACACTGACATGTACTATTATATATAACTATCGATCTTTTCCCTCGGATTTATATTTTCAATGGAACATTTCCTGTGTCATTAGTATTACTTTGTACCGACGTTGTACTTGCAAGTGAAAACAAAAATGACCGCGGGGTTGCCCCCAGAGTGCGCCATCTATTAAAATCCAGTTTTGTGAAGCGAACCTCAAACAGTACAACTACAAGATGACAACTTAATACCAGAGTCCTGGATGAAATCATGTCAAATACGTCGAGAAACTAAGCAACTTTCTGATGATTTTGTATGTGTCACTTCCCATAATGCTGTGCGTCATGTTTTACAATTGTCCACGTCACGTGACCGAATCCAACGATGGCAACAACTCGACGTTATTTTTTACATCACGTTTTATGTGATATTAGCCTTGTGTAGCGTCACTTTACCCATGCAATTGTGTCTAAAACAATATCTCGGAAAGATTTTGTCATCTCCATGTTATGTTTGAACAAAAAAACTGTTCAAAATCACAGCTATTAAAGCGGGAGGGTTGTCACCTGCACACGCGCGGGAATTGAGTCCCAAACGACGATAACAACACACGCTAAAACGCAAAGGCTCATGGGTAGACGCTTGTTTGTAAACAATGACACGCTATGGCCATCTGACGCATTCGCAGGTGACGACTCCCCCGCTTTATGATCACAGCTAGTTTCTGTTAGAAACTTCTACAGTATAGCGACAATACACCTGGTAATGTTGATTATGCGATCGGGGATATCGCGTACAATGTTGAAACTAATATGACGAGCACTAACGCTACTCACTGAAGTATTATATTGTGAAATCATTGTTAACATTTCATGTTGAAGAGCATTTTTTTTCCTGCAATACACTTTGATTTGGATCAACAAAACATTTTCTCTTTCCACCGTATGCGGCGCACTTTACAAGTAGAAAATTGCAAAAACAGACGTGTGAGTGACAAGTTTTAAAATGATGCACGCGATGGCGAGAAGCAACACTTTTTGTTTTGACCTAAGGTATATAAAAAGTTCCTTCAGCTTACTGACAACCAAATTTATCATTTTGCAGAAACCAGTTTTGTGCATGGTTTCTAGGGACAATATTTGGTTGCCAGGGACACACCCATCTAAGCATTCTGATTCATATCGATCATACCTATTCATATAGGTGATTATCCACAGCTGTCCATCCGTCATCTGTCAATAAACTTTTTGAAAATTACTCAATTGTATTGATACTGGGTATGCATGTACTAAGGGTGAACGTCTGACAGGTTTATTTATTTTGTGACGAAATTTTCAATTCTACATTTTAAGCCATGGTGGGCAAAAAATGTTATTTATTACTTCTTCTTAAAAACTACCAGCCCAATTTTTTTGATACTTTGTATGTAGGGTATATGGGTTGATCTCCATGAGATTGTAGTAAGATGATAACAATTGTAATTGTCATGGCAACAACCAAATGGCAGAAACCTCTTGGACTTTTCAACCAACTTCTACAACTTTCCAATTTTTTGACTTTTCAGTGAACTTCTATGACTTTCCAACTAACTTTCCGGACCATTCAACTTTCCAACTAACTACCATGATTTTCCAACCAGCTTTTTTGACTTTCTAACAAACTTTCTGATCAATGTTTTCCAACTTTCACACCATCTTTTCAACTAACTTCTTTGACTTGCCATGAGTTTTATGACACAACAGTCTTTCAATGAAATTCTTTGATATTCCAAACGACTTGTCAGACTTTCTACAACTTTCTAACCAATTTTATCATCTTACCAACCAACTTTTTCGACATTCCAAACAACTTTTTTCACAAATAGTTTCAATTATTTTTAAACTCCGCGCAACTTTTTCAACTAATTTCTATGGCTTTCCAAACAACACTTCTGCTTTTCTAGTTACAGGTCAGCTCTCTATTCACATAATGAATAGTCCAAGCTATGTGAAATATGTTTTGTAAAACTTTGAAGTGTTGTTTATACGTATAATAATAAGATCTAAGATACTTACAACCCACCTCACCTCTCTAACTTTTATAAGTCAATAATATTTATGTCATCATTGGTTATAGATTGTACTTTTATGGACAATATTGACACTCGTGCAGCAGGGTATGAGAGATGTTAATAGCTATTTGTCCCTGTCATCTCCCATAGCTGATTATATCAAAATTCTGGTGTAAAATCCAACATTTCATAATACCTCAATATTACTCAGAATTGTATGTGAAACCTTGTTATCAAGTACAACTAACCTCAAAGTCAGAATAACTCATCAAATCTCAAGGCAGTGGGTCACACCAAGTAGTCATTTCCTAAGAATTTTAAACACGGAATGTTAACCCTTGAATGAGTCAATTTTTCTCTAATACATTTTTTACCACACAATAATCCCATGATTAACATATTTGTCAAATCATAATCAATAACTGTAGCCAATGCAAATTTAAGTATAACTGGCACGAATTTTAAAAAGAATTTTGTGAAACAATACACAGTGGAAGTTGAAAGAAATTAAAGGTTATGTGGTAGAGTTTTAGGAATATATCAACTTAGCTGATGATTGAAAAGACAAATACAAAGTATGTTATCATGACTGATGTACAAGAAATGTTGTTTTATTCATATTACTCAATATTCTGAAATAAAATTTTTCCCCAAAAAGAATACAAATCAGTTTATAAGAAAGAAAAAATATCTGGCCACATTTGCTTGAATAATAGGTGATTTCTGTTCAACTGTGAGGTCTCGCGAGTTGGGTGAAAGACGTCTGCCGCAAAAATCGAATGATTGGATTTTGAACTTGAATTTCTTTACTTCGTAGCTCACATCGAAAGGCTGATCTTTGACAGGGGAATATTGCGTTTGAATACTCTTACTTCTTCGAAATTGACCATCATGAAATGTGTACAGCATATTATTGAGCATGGAAATATCTCCCAAAATAAGTTCCCACGCAATATTTGTCGCTACTAAGACGCTATGAACTTT